TCCGACTTGGTCAGGGTGTATGATCTTCTTGATGACCCTCTGTATTCTGTTTGCCAGTATCTTGTTGAGGATTTTTGCATCTGTGTTCATTAGGGAGATTGACCTGTAGTTCTCTTTTTGGATTGGGTCTTTTCCTGGTTTTGGAATCAAAGTAATACTTGTTATGCTGCATTTAGATGAACACACTGAGAGTTTAGACTCTGATGCGGCCAGACCCTAGTGAGTGTACTTGTCCACTTGTCACAATATTTTCATAATTCAGTCCATAGTTTTATCAACATAGCTAAACATTTTACCATCTCTTGGCCAACTTGTCCCTTCTAATTTTATTGTTGAAATCATGACTTTACATTTTTACTTTTCCTATCTGGCTTTTTCCCAATAACTGATGCCTCAAAACACATATGTTATCATAGTATTTCTGATTTGGGTGATGTAGAAGCACAAGAAAGTAAGGACTGTAGAGTTTATTATTTGCTTAAAATTAAAGCATTACTCAAAGTACAATGAGCAAAAACGTTTCCTGGTGTGCTTATGGAAGCCAGAGACTGGTTTAGACCTCTGAGGATGGCTCAGAGATTGGCAATTTAATGAATATCTCTTAGGAATGGTGTCTTATTCTTGGGAAGCACCATCATTAATGCCTTCTGTCACTGTGCCCTGAAACATATAGATGATAGATAACCAAATATCTCATTTATCAAATTAATATCAAATGTTATAAAATGTTATCAAATCTTTTTATTAGATATATTTCCTTCTAAAATATTTTTTGAGAATTATGATAAACTGATGACTTCTATTGAGGTTTGGCCACTTTTTGGAATTACAGTAGACCATTAATAGCTAATGAATAATTCAGCTGTTTAGTAGAAATTGTGCTTATTATTGATTTGTATTTAAATATTGTGATAAAGCCATAATCAAATGATAATTATGGTTTATGGATCATTCTGTAGTAGCTGCTTTGTGTACATTATCTCCATTTCACACTTCTATTTCTGTGGAAGGTGTCAGCATTTCCATTTTACAGATGAGGAGTTTGAGACTCATTTATCCAAGTCCATACAACCACGGGGGCAGAGTAGGTTCTACCTACAGTTTGATCTGTGTACCTCTGGACTGTATGGTTTCCTTTGGAAATTTCCCTGTAATAACATATGATCACCTAAATAGTTATATGTATCTGTGTATGTATGCGTGTGTGTATATGTGGATGTGGTGGGAGAGAGAGAGTTTTCTGTTCAGAAAATGAGCTAAGAAAGAAAATTATTGAGATTGTGGGGGACTTGTGTTAGATGATGTAAAAGCAGCCTTAAGTCTTTACTAATTTTTCTGTAAAAATAAAAGGAAATTTGGATAAAATCCTTTAAAATAGTGTTAACATTTTTTATGGAAGAATATTAAGAAATTTTTACCATATGGATGTTTTACCAACATAGCAATACAGAGCAAAATGAAGAATTTCTGATTCCCTGGGCTGCCTTTGTGCTAAACTGCATAGGTGCTCCTCTGTTCTCTTATATTTTAAAATAAGCCATATGCTGCTCCTCTGTTATGAAAAAGAGGGTTTTCTCAAGAGCAATTGACATTTTTGTATTAAACCCAGAGCTCACTAAGAGGTTTATTTTTAAATATTCTGGAAATCTGAAGCCTAAGGGATACATGGTAAGCTCAAGCATATGTTATCTAAAGACCCTGGATTTTGCCCCTAAAATGCATCAAAGTGACGCTTGGCGGAGCTCAGTGACTCACCAGGATGTGTCAGCCTTCCAGACTCTGGATAGAACTGATAAGAGTGATACATTTGGGAAGCAGGGTGGAGTTCCATGGTGAACAATTTGATTATGCTTATGAAAAAGATGATTGTGACCTAGAGGAACAATAGTTAATAAACAGCAAGGACAA